AAACACTGCACTGAGGAATACATTGGGGCTGACTTCCAGAAGTGCTGAATGATTCCCACACCGAAAGAAATCAATGGATGTTGTAGCTGCTTAGCACTAATGAAAAACAGGCCACAACTCAAATCTATTGTTTCTTGGTTTATAAATTGTCTGGGTGAAAATGAATGATGAAAAGAGAAAGTAAGAGGGAAGAGGGGAACTGGAAGCTCCCTTCCAGAGCTGGATAGAGTCTGTATTTGGAGCTTTGTTTACATAACAGTTAATATAGAAGATATACCTCTTCTGAAACTAGGACCTCTAGTGATTGCCACAATATCTGTAGTAATGATTATAGGCATCCATATGTCTTATTTTGTTTGTCCTCTGAACCATGAATAAGGAGGAGCTGAGTAGAGGACTTTTTGTGTGGAAGGCAAAGGTTAATAACCTTGTCATCCTTCCCCATTCCATTCACACTGCTAATATTCAGTAAAACTGTGTGGAAATTAATAACAGTTTGGACTGAGGCGGTACCTCGAGTGGTCTGCCTGGGGTTAGCTGGTAAATTTAATAATGTTGCAAGGAAATTCCGCCTAGATGTGCTTACAGCAGCCCAGAAGGGATATTTGCCCTGGATTTTAAAGGAGATCCATTAGAAAAGAAGGTTTTCTCCCCTGGGTATAATTGGCATGTTCAGCATTACAGCAAATGCATCAAACCCTCTACATCCTTTATTATCTTTAGTTGCACAGAAGTTGTGCTTTGGGAGTATTTAGGATTTTCCATGACCCCATGGAGAAATGGAAATATGTGGACCATCCAGTCTACAGGTAGACTATGAATGATTTGATTGCATTAAATGCATTCAAAACAAGGTGGTGGAACTGAAGCACCTTTTTTCTGTGAAGTTGATAACTTGGCAGACTAATTGAAAACAGCTCCACATCCCCAGAAACCTCTCAGAGTTGAATAAACTGAAGAAACCCTAACAGAAGCTGATTTGCATGGTTTGAGGCTCTGTTCTGCACATCTCTACCAAGTTTTCTTGAACAATAAATTCCCTGTGTGTCATTGAACTTTCTATATAGAATGTATCGATTAACGTTTTCCTGTCTCATGTCTCTCATAAGACATAGAAGGTACAACAAAAGAAATTAATGTAAGATTTTGAGGTAGGAAGGAACCGTTCTGAATTCTTAAACAATCGAAGCCAAAAATTTCAGCTGATGGACGAATTGTAATTACGTTTTGATGGTTTCCTAACACAGCGCTATCCTGATCAATCCATCTGCACAGATAAAGCTGCATCGGAATACAATGGGCTTTTTTATTGCTCATTCCCTGGCAGAAGTCAAAAGGTAACATTCCCTTTTGCTGTATTGTTAAAAAAGGTCTAGAACAGAAAAGCTTTCAAGAGCAGACAAGTGCATTTATTCTTTGCTTAGTTAAATATAATCCATTTCTGCTTAATCCACTGTTGTTTTCTAGGGCACACTTCTACTGTAAAGCCTGTCATAGTGATGTAGAGGATCCAGAGCAGATTAAAAAATGTCAGTGTAGAAGCAGACTTCACGCAAAACCTCTCTCAGGTAACTTTTTTAAAAGTCCTTGCTTCTCTTTTAGGAGGAAAAAAAAAAAAGAAAAAGAAAAAAGGTGGCTGAAGGAATCTCAGTGTTAACTGTGTATTTATTAACTATTTGTGTAGAAGGATAGGTTGGAATGCAGACCTTTACTTGTCAGATAAAATAGGGAGTTTTCTGATGATGCAAGTAAACCTTACCTGCATGGATTATTCTTAGACCTTAAATGCTTCTGTGTGCTTTTCTTTAGGGTCAGAACTTCTGGGCTTAAAGAAAGTAGGATAAAACATACCCTTTCGAAAACTCTCACTGTGCTTATTACTGGATTTAGCAGAGGCTACTGTTCTTTAACCAGAAGAGACTGAAGCAAATGTGTCTTACTACTACAGCATGTGTATGTAGAATCAGAGCAAAAGATGCAGCTGGGTAAAACCAGAATTTTGCACCCAGTTTGTACTAGGTTCTTGGCCAGCCTTCCCTGAGGAAGTGTGTCTAGATCTTTGTCACCATGAGAACAGAAAATATTAAACATGGAGGCAGCAAATTGTTTTTTGAGGTTGTGCGAGGCATATTGCAACATTTACCGGTGTTTGCTAAGAGGATTGCAAAACTCAGCTGGATGGAAAAAACAGTTTAGTCATGATAACATCTAACGTAAAGCAGAGCAATTTATTCCTCCTTCACCTCAAATTCCATTTTCAAGGTTTGGGGGCTTGTTTGGTGTTTTAGTGTTCTGTGGAAATAGAAGATGTGAGCTCTTGGATCTAAGTCTAAAGTGAACCAAAGGGAAGCTTGCTATATTTTTATTAAGAGTTCAAGGCAAAATATAATGTTAGGTTACCTAGTCTGACCTGTGTCATATAGCATAACATTAGCATTTCCACATTTATTTTTATTAAACCTAGTGGGTAGCACTTGACTTATGTCCTAGCAATAGCAGGGGACTGAACCTGTTGTCTGCAATACGATTCTGTGCTCACCAAAATTGTCGGGCTATTTAGGGCTAGCATGTGGGTTCTGCAATCTCATATGCTAGCTGAAGAGCGAAAAGCATTCTTGGACTTCTAGACACACATCATTTGTTACTCTTGGTATGTACGAATGTGTGCGTGATGACTGTGTATACATATGTACACACACACATGTGCGCACTCTTTCCAGGCTCTTGTGAACTTCTCTGCTAGTGTCTCCCCTCCATGGAGATGGTGCTTGCTTTAAAGAGTTGACAAAGAGCTTTCCGTTAAGTGTGGATATATACTTACATGCCTGCTTATATTTCAGACACTTACACATCTTTTTAGCAGCAGATGGCAGCCAAACCCCATTACAAAACATCTCTCTGAACTGCAGATGGTTGAGGTAAAGGCAAAACCCATTCACAGTGTGCTCAGCCTGGCTGAGTGAACAAGCACAAACATGCTGACACCTGGAGGACTCCATGCAGTAATGTCATGTAGGAAGGGAAGCTGGAGCCCATTTTCAGTCTCACACGCTTAGCAACATAGATATAACTAAGGCCTCTGAAAGTCAGCTACCTCCCAGAAAGAGAGGCTTCCGTAAACTGCAAAGGCATCATAATAAAAGTCAGTGACAAACAAATAGAAAATCATTGACGCTGTAGGAGCTCTCCACTTGGTTGGTTTTGTTCCCATTTCCTAGGCAATTTTAGATTTTAAAAGGACAGGATGGTATTTAAATATAAATGCATATTAATAAAGCAGTTCTTTGCAAACCTGCAGTTCTGCACCAGATATGCTGTGGAGAGAGCAATTGCTTTGGGTTGATCAGGAGCTATGCCAGGCGTAAGACCTTGCCACTGGTTTCCCGTAGGATTCTGGATGTATTGAGCAAATTGAGCTTAATTGTAGGCACTTTAATTGGTTCCTTTCCTCTGCCTGTAACAAAGTTTAAATGGTACGTGGTGGTCTGGTTGCCTCCAAAGCCACTGTGAGATGAAGGGAGGTAAGGAAGGCTGGATGAAGAAGGCCCCCAACTAGCATAGATCAGTAGGTGTCCAGTACCTGCAGTAGAAATAGGGAGAGTTGCACTAGCTGAAGATCAAGTGTATTGTCATGAATCTAGAAGCTAGTACAGGAGCCTCAGAGATTGTGAACTTTAGTCAAAGAAGCTAATGTATTATTGTCGTTTTAACAGGAGGGTGAATGGCTTACAGGAGGGCAGTCAGTTAAAATAAGAGAACCAGGGTTATTTCTTCTTTATCATCCAAACTAGGCTGCAAGCCTACTAGTACTATATATAGATATATATAGATATATATCTATATCAGTGTGTGTGTATGTACATACACACAATCACCAGATATGTACTAAGAGGCAATAAGGTTTCTCAAGACAACTACCCTCCCCTTAGGAACTGGTCAAGCAATGAAAGTAAGTGAGAGCATTGCCCCCTGTTCTCACTTTCTGAAGCATCTCAGAGCTACCCTGAGCAGTCAGGCCCTGCACAGATTGTGCACAGTGACCCAGAAAGTGTGTGGTGAAGGTTGGAACAGAACCCAGCTCTACTGAGTTAGCCAAGTATCTTGATTTAGAAGATTTTCTCAGTTATTGATTAGTCCCTGTGTAAGCCAGATTGTTTTTGAATTTTCATCGTCTGGCTTGGCTTACAATACTTTCATGAAGCTTGACCTAGAAGAACTGACTGTGGCATGTGGTGCTATCAGAGAGCTCCTTCTTTACCCATCCAGCTCCCACCGCATTGAACACAAGGCTGTAGAACAAGCTATCCTGTTACCAAGACTAAGTACACTTGCTTTTAGCACACCAGTGTAGAGCAATTACAGGTTATTAAGGATGACAAATCACCCATTCAGAGAGATGTCCCTTTTTGTGCCATGGTATATTTAGAATCGTTAGCTGTTTCATATGGGTTAGTATGGTTTGGTAATACTTATGACACTACAAGGAAGTGAAGGGTATATGAGACGGTTCACCTGTGAGTTTGTGAGACAGAGCTCTATGTGTTTGAATGTTCCTCCAGTCCAGTGTTCCCTTCCTCCTCTGTATGTGTTGGACATGTTTGGACACATGTTATCGAGAGCTTTGCTGCGCCTTCTGTCAAATGTTGACAAAGGGAGGAATGCAGATTAACGACAGATAAGATAGACCAAGGGAGTGGAATGTGGGAAATAGCATGATGCAGCCTGAACCTGCTATGTCACTGTGAAAAGCAGGAGATTGCAGGTAGTTTCTGGTGCTCTTAAAAATCTTCGGAGTTGCTGCTGTACATCTCAAATCACTACCTGGTGTCATAAAGCTGGGCTTAATGGCCCATGACCTCAGAGTTTAGCCCAGAAAGGACCAGATTAAATGTCAGTTAAAAGATGTTGCAGCTGTTAAATTGGTATTCTAGAATTTGGAAAACTTGAGCTTATTTTCTTGATCTGATTCCTCAGACTCGATCTGGGACTTTAGGCCACTTAGCCTTTCTGAATGTTGGTTTCCTGATGGGAAAGTGAGGAAGCTAACGTGAGTTTGACTCACGTGCTTTGGGAATAGAGACATAAATAATTGCCAGTGACTCATGGTATTTATGAAGACGGTACAGGTTCTGTGGATGAACTCTTCCTACCCTCTGACTGCTTCTCGCGTGAAAGGACATGTTTTCTTTGAGCACTTAGAGCACCCCGTCTTCCCTGCAGGACCAGGACCTTCCACTTCACGACAGGCCC